GTGTCCTCTTTAATTTTGTCCTGATCCCAGGTAGCAATTTGTCTGTCCTTGTCTTTCAAGAATATGTCAGATGATCTGTAATGGAAGCACAGGATAAAGTTATAAAGTATAGTGTGCAAAGCTGTGAAAACTGTCATTTAAGACAAACCACACGGCAGAAATTCTACTTGAAATATTCATAAAATGATACCAGCACTTACTCACAAAATGAACTGGTTGTTTTGACCAGCTTGGTTTTGACGAGTCCGATATCCCCAGTTCTCTCCAATTTTCCCATAAACCAATCAAAACAGGCCACCAGCAGGCCCAGGATGACGATTCGTTCACCAGCCTGGAAACTCAGTTCATCTGGCCCGTCGGCATCATACTCTTCTGTGGTCTCACAGACCCCTGCTGCTGTGACAGATATTGTTACAATTGTGGTAGAGTTAAATTGTGATGATGACAATGCCGCACTTACATTATTATTATTTTTTTTTTTTTCTTTTTAGTTCCTAAAAAGTTTCTAAATATATAAATCTCAGAGTAAATCCTCCAGATTTTGTGTGCAGCTTATAACCACTTACCCTCTTCACTTATCCTCAATCATTTTCTAATAATTTTTTTTTTATTCTAAAGCTTTTTGCTTTGCAGCTTTTTCAAATTTTGTAATTTTACATTCCAAAATTTGCTGTTTTAAATAAATCTTTTGAACTTTTTATTCATCAAAGAATCATAAAAAAAATAATAGGCAGCACAACCATTTTCAACTACATTAAGAAAATGTTTTCTAATAAGAAATCAACAAGAAATAATTTTTTAGCACCAAATCAGCATTTTACAGTGATTTCTGAAGGATCATGTGACACTGGAGACTGAAGTAATGACTGCTGAAAATTCAGCTTTGCCATCACAGGAATAAATTACATTTTAAAAGATATTCAAATAGAAAACAGTTAAATAATATTTCACATTATTACAGTTTTTACTGTATTTTGGATCAAATAAATGCATTCGTGGTGAGCCTAAGAGACTTCTTTCAAAAGCATTACCAAATCTTACCGACTGCAAAACACAAAACAGGATATATAAAATATTTTCTCACCAATCTGGAAGGGAAGGTCACTTGTGTCCTTTCCACCACCCACTAATATACTCTCTGGGCAGGACTTTAGAAACCACCTTGGGAAGTAAAAAAAAAAAAATCCATTGTTCTTAGTTCTGTTGATTTTGTCAATAAGTTCATATGAAATTCATAAGGTGACACATACTCATGAAAGGGAATGACTGGCTCCAGAGCTGGTTTTGGTTTGGTTCCTCTAGCCCCATCTGCAAGTGACAGCACTGTCCACCCTGATCCTAGGAATGGAGGCTCAAACAAAGCGATATCCCCCTTCTCCAGATAAAGGTCGCTCCCTGACGTAGAGCTATCAAACATCTGATTAGCTGTGCAGCATCCAAAGAAAGACCCTAAAAAGTAAGCAATATTGTTTTACTACAAATAGCAGTGATATTCACTCATACGTGTGCCAGTCTGTTTCTGACGTTAAATATAAAGTATATAGTGTGCATAAACACTATGTATTTACCTTCTTGCATTAGAAAGCCTTTATACATCAGATTTAGTGTCTCTTCTTTAATTGAGATCTCAATTCCTGAATGCTGATCAAGGGAGATTAACCAGAACTCCTGGTTCATGAGAAGGTTTTCCATACACTGACCCAAGAAGCCTGGTGGAAATTACACATTTGGTAAGTCTTATGAGATAATTATCTTTTAATATACACTACCGATTATTGATCCTTCAGAAATCATTCTAACATGCTGATTTGATGCTCAATTATTATTGGTGCTTCAGTTATTAATATCGGTTTTCATTATTATTATTATTATCAATGTTGGATTCTTTGATGAATACAAAATTCAATAGAACAGTATTTTTATGAAATAGAAATCCTCTTTAACATTCTTAGTGTCTTCAATTTAAGGCATCTTTGCTGAATAAAAGAAATATTTCCCCCCCCTTTTCTCTTTCTCAAATCTATCTTACCCCAAACTTTTGAATGGTAGTGTACCATGGTTTCCACAAAAAATATGAAGCAGAAATTTTGTTTTCAACATTGATTATAATAAGAAATGTTTCTTGAGCACCAAATCAGCATTTCATATTTTTGAAGGATCATGCGATGCTTTTAATCATAATAATTTCACAATATGACTGTTTTACTGTATCTTTAATCAAATAAATGCAGCTTTGGTGAGCATACATAAGAGACTAAAGAAACATGTAAAAAATCTAACTTTTGGTAGTGCACCTGACTCTTACAGTACTTGACATTATTAATAATACAATACAATACAATACAATGTTTATTTACTGTATATAGCACATTTAAAACAACCAAAGTGCTGCACAGAGTATGCAAAACAGAACAAGTCAACAAGATTACAAACAATAAAACGCAAGCTATAAAACAAATGCATACAACATTATATCTGTGGCACTGAAATAAGAACAGACCCATTTTGTGGTATGTGCTGAACTTCCATATTTCTTCAAGTGTTTTAAAGGTGATAAATATAGTCCTTTCCTCACTATTGATGGATACAAAATGAGCAGACAACTCCTGCAGGACAGGGAAGCAAGTATGTTAAATACATTTCGGAAAGGTTTTGAATATTTTATGTGGTCTGAATAGGGATGACCATACAGAGATTAAGGTCACGACCCCTGAGAGGTCAGCTTCGAGCACACAAAGTTTCCTGCAAAGCACTTCCTGTGTGCCCTCATCGGCAGGAAGTCGATCTGGCCCCTCCACCATAGCCAGCTGCATAGCCAAAACTGCAACAGGAAACAGCTTATAGTTAACATTATATCTACCACTGCATCCAACACTAACAGATCAGCCTACACATGGAAAATATTCCAGTCAGCTCTAGTAAATGTGTAAGGAAAGTGAATTAGTGATGTAAAGAGGCCAGTCAGTTAATATAAGGTGACATAATAAACCAAACCTTTATACTGCTGTAAATTCCAGGTCTAGATCTACCATTCACTTATAATCTCAAGAGCAATATTTGTGGTTCAATCCACAGTTTAGATTTTGTATTTTACCATAATCATGTGATGTTTCACTGCTGTGTTTAACAGAGAGGGTTAATAAATGACAGTCAATGGGATTTGTAAAGTCCAATGTATGATCTCTAAAAGTTACTCTTTTTCTGAGTGTCACCAAAGCGGGTCAGAGTTCAAATAAAGGAATAGTTAATCAAAAAACTGAAATTCTGTCATTTACTCACCCTTCTCTTCCTACTGTGGAACATAAAAGAAGATATTTTGAGAAATCGCTCAGCGTACAATACGGTCACCAAAACTGTTTGGTTCCCAACATTATTTAGAATATCTTCTTTCATGTTTCATTAAGTCATACAGGTTTGGAATGACATAAATTGACTCAGAAACCAAGAACTGCCAACTCTGGGCAGTTTTTCTACACAGTATTCTATTATTATTTGAGATTATTATGTGATTAAGACAATGGAGGCAATTTACAAAGTCATCAGGATTTATTCACATCAGTCACAGTGTATTAAGAGGTAGTTAGTATTTGATCTGGAGAGCTGGATTCACCTGTTGGTATATTATCATCAGAAGCTCCTGAAGTACCTTTGATGCTTCCTCTTGAGGTCTTAAAATCTGAAAAGAAATGTACACACTCCCTTAAGCTTAGTCCTAACAATGATGTGGGTAATTTCTGTAATGCTGTAGGCTACCTTTTGAACACTTTACTAGATAATTGTGTTGTAGTTTAAGGAATTTTACATCAGCCTTTTAGAAATGCATATAGTCATGTACAGACATTTAAATGTTAATAATTCTAACTTAATTAGGCTACCTTTACAACAAACTAACAGGATGGAAATGAAAACCTGTTAGCCACTGAAGATATACAGGTAGCTTACGATGCTGTCAACTTAACTTTCATAACTGATTTTTTGAATGTTTTAGAGACAAGCCAGTTAATGAGTCACTCCCCCCACCTACAATCCCTGCCGGTACGAGACTCGAACCCGCTACCTTTGGGTTACGAGTCCGACTCTAACCATTAGGCCACGACTTCCCCCAGAGTTCAAATAATGCCACACAACATCACAGAATCCATTAAATCCATTACTAATATTGATGTTTGTGCTGTTGCTTTCCCACCAAAATGGTGATGTCACTTCCTGGAGGATGATGCCATTGTTCGTTTCAGGGATTTTACAAAAGAATAACAGGATGGAAAGTGACACTGAAAAGTTAAATCAAATGATTACCAACGGGTTTCAATGTTCATAAGATCCAAAACAAGAAATACCTAGAATTTTAGATTTCCATTCTTCTGTGCTTAGAAGTCATTGCATAGCACTTGGAGAGCAACATCTGCTCAAACCAAAGAACTACAATTATTTAGAATTCTCCCATATGTTCACTTAGGCTAACTGAGAAATTGTGATAAAAAAAAATATATATATATGATTTTCATAGGCCTATTTTATAAATTGTTTTAATAGAGATTTTTATCCAGTAGCCCATCAGGCAGTGCAATATGTATGGCCAAATTATTCAAAACGTATGATCAACTTCATACGTTCATTAACATACGAATGCATCACATATGTTAAGAAACACTTTTTTCTTTTTATTCTCTATGCTGTTCGTGCTGCTCAACCGCGTCCCTACCTCTAGATGAAGACTCCATCATATTATCCCATTCACTGTGTGTGTACTCAGTCGACAGCTCTCTGCGTATCGTCCGAATTCCATCCGGATCGGACTCCACGCCGTTCCCGGTTTTGGACGAGTTTCTACGAACCGCGGCTGACATCCCGTCAGAGTTCCGAGAGGAGAAGCGAATGGGAATGTCGATCACGCGCTCATCGCGCTGTCACCAAATAAAAGCGCACAGGTGGCGGAACTGATTTTGAGAGCGTACGTTACAAGACTGCACAGACTCATGTCCTTAATGGCGAAGGCGAAAAGAAAATGAACGTCCAGAACCACAGGCAACAGGTCCAGCTACTCCCTACACCCCTGTCGGAGGTGTGTGTGTGTGTTATGTGATTTTGGCATCAGTAAGCATTTTTGCTTTTAAAAATAAATACCCTTGGCACGCAAAGTTTCAGCAAAAGTTAATAATCACACGGTGTGAGTTAAGAATTGCTGGTGGTCCGTTTTATGAGTGTAAACTTAGTAGGTGTGTCTCTGTGTATTTGGGTGAACTCAGAAAACTTCAGAGGAAGAGTGTCAGCATTTCCCCTTCCTCTCTGGTTGCCTAAAGGAAAGTGGAGTTTTAAAACCCTTGTATTATGTGGGTACAGTTTTTATGGTGGGGGTCAATTGGCCCTAATTGGCTTCAATACAGTTCATCAAAAACCATTAAAAGGGAAAAATCGGGCAAAAACAGCAAACATTTAACATTAACACTGGTCTATAAACATTTATCAGTAACTCAAACTTATGTGTGCCAAGGTTTTTGCCAAGGTTATTTCTTTTTAAAAAACAAAAATGCTGCCATAACACAATTTCAGTGCTTTCATAATGCATACATTATAAAATAAACACATTAGCATATGATTTTTAATATTAACTATTTCATAAACATTTTTTTATCACCTGTGTGAACTTTATAAAAAGTACTGTAACTATTTTTTTTTAACATTTGTTTTGAAAAACAACATTTTAAACACAACAAATGTGGACAAGCACCACTTCTGTGTGCTTGCCTGACGCTCAAACTAGAGCATGGCTAAGCTAAGATCATGGGTTCAATTCAAACTGATAAATATCTATGCCTTCCGTGTAAGTTTCTTGATAAAAGGGTCTGCTAAATGTATAATGTAAATACCCTCACAGGGAAGTTGAGAAACTGACATAACAAAATACATTGTAGTTAATTAATTAATTAAATTAATAATTAATTATAATAATTAATTACATTGTAGTTGCCTGTAAACATCAAAATCAGAAATTTTGTATGCACATTCCACAACAACAAAGCAAAATCTTTTGCAGGCATGTTCATGATCATAAATGAGAATAAGTCACAAAATCATATAGATTAACCAATATTTCCAACAATTCAAAAATTGTAATGGGTCAAAGTGACCCGGCAAGAAATGTCAATTGACAGCTTATTCCTTCTTGAAATTATTCCCAGCTTGAAATGATAGTGTATTTGCATTCTGGAAAACTGCAATTTATGGATTCTTGATTACAGTAGCCTACAGTGTTTTTATCTCCCCTTTAAAATCTAGTCGAAGTGTATTAAGATAGAAGTGTATTATGATAATAAAAAATGAAACAATGTAAGTAAAAAGAGATTATAGCCTAAAACGTTGGCAAAAGCTCTCCCTTTTCCAGGCAGTTGGTGGTCCAGCATTCCTGGATGGTCTAGTTATGTATCCTAATTAATATTCATGAGACAAGCCTTTCTAGCCCTAGAGCTTTCAGGTTTGGCTTATGTGTGCCCACTTACCAATATCTATTAACAGAATATGGAAGAAAAGAATAAACAAGGGTATTCTATGGACATAAAAAAAGATGCATTGTGGTAGAATGGCAGTTATTTATAGCCTAATCAAGTCCTGGTTGATGACTATTTTATTTTATTTTTTTATTTTTTTATATATATATATATCAATATATATTTTAAATCGAATAAGTTTTGAAACCCAATCACAGTCATTTAACATACTGGACAAGGCAGCTGAGATTAGTTTATAAAGATGAGTTGGATTTCTATTAACTTCTCAGCTTATTTGTAATTAACATATTTACATTTACATTTAGTCATGCTGCAGACACTTTTATCCAAAGCGACTTACAATTGGGGAATACATCAAGCGATTCATCTTAGATGCAAACAGTCACAGGAAGTACTCGCAATACCAAATTTCATGCATTGTTTAAATCAGTACAAACTAGAAAGGGAAGGAATAAATAAAAAGAAAGACAATTTTTTTTTTTAAATTTAGGATGAAGTAAAGTAATATAAAGCCCATTCCTATTTAAGCAATTACATTTAGCGTCATTAGTTATGAATGAATGAATGAAGTTTGAAGGCGGCTGAATGGATATTCAGGTTTTTGAACCCCAAGCGCCGTCTGGAGGAAGACGTCCAATATGTGGTTATTAGTTTGCAACATTAAAATCGAGAAATCCACCTGCTGGCTGTTCTGATAGAACAGTCAGTGCAAAACTATGCTAAAATATGGTTTGGTAAGCAATTAAACATTAAATTAGGATTAGAAATAATATGCTCAAAATCGTTTAAATAGTTGATATTGACAACTACGCATCGATTCTCTATTTTTCTGCAGTAATTAGGTAAAGAGTCACTTTTTGCAGTGCATGTTTTTACTGATCTCTATGTAGGCCTATTGAGTGTAGAAAACATCTCTGTTACGTATGTAACCTTGGTTCCCTGAATAGGGAACGAGATGCTGCGATGACGTCATCGCTATGGGAACATCTCCGGTGTGACGAATGTCTGAAGCCCTTATACTATCACGCCAATTTATTGGCCAATAGCGCTTAGCACTATTTAGCATTTCATCAGATTTTACACTATGACGAAGGAAGTGCTAATGAAGGTACGGAACGGCCAGTATCGCAGCATCTCGTTCCCTATTCAGGGAACCAGGGTTACATACGTAACCGAGATGTTCCCTCTCATAGGTTCACTTCAATGCTCTAGAATTAAGAATAGTGTCGGTAATCTCTGCCAAGAGACCGGAACACATTTCAACTCTGCTCAGGGGTCACACCCATTAGTTCCAAAAATCCTGATGGGGATGTCCAAATCATGCCCCGAACCTGAGTCAGCAGGTCGTGTCTGAGGGGAACCTCCCAAGGGGGCCGGCTAACAGACTGACCAATTCTGAGAACCACGTACGAGTGGGCCAAAACGTCACCACCAACAACAGACGTTCACTCTGACCAACCTTACTCTGAACAGAATCGTTTGGGAGCAAACGGGTCGACGGGAAGGCATAAGACTGGTCCTGGGCCATTCTTGGGCTAGAGCGTCCACACCCAGAGGCGACGGAGGAGACAAAGAAACCAGAGCGGGCAATGCGCATGCTCTATTTTTAGCAAACAAATCCACTTCCGCTCGGCCAAATCTCTGCCATATGAGACTCACCACCTATGGGTGCAATCTCCATTCTCCAGCCTCCAAACTCTGTCTCAAGAGTAAGTCCACTCCTGAGTTCAGGTGACCCAGGACATGAACTGCTCTGATCGACAGGAACCTGGTCTGCGTCCAAAGAAGAACACATCTCACCAACCTGCACAGGGGGCGAGAGCGTAATCCTCTCTGACAATCCATGTATGAGACCACAGCCGTGTTGTCAGTCCTTGACCTAATGTGACAACCACTCAATTGGGTAAGAACCGTTTGAGTGCCAGAAACGCTGCTCCAAACAGTTTGTGTGGTTGAGCTAATATCAGCCAATCGTCAAGGTAACTCAAAACTCAGACACCCCGTGACAACAGGACCAAGACGCATCCATTCACCTTGCGTTCGAGTCCAGTTCAATGAAAGAATACAGTATTGGCAAGCTTTATTCCAAAAGCAAACCTGAGGAACTTCCTGTGTCTCTTGACGATCTGGATGCAGAAGTACGCATCCTTAGATCGATGGTCACAAACCAATCTCGAACAGTAACGGATACTAAAATCAGGCATGCCAGCACCAACCACAGAGTGGGGACTTGGATGTCAACATATACCCTGCACCAATGGCTTTAGGGCTATACTCTCGATCTCCAAAGCTAAGGCGCAAAGAACGGTCAAAATCAGTCCGAAACGCAACAAGCGGCGGAACAGCTGATAGAGAGGCAAACACACTTGTAGGTTGCCCACATTCATACACAGTTCCAGCTCAATGCAACAGCGGAGCTGAAAAGAACAGAGTAATTAGTCATGCAAACCACTGCTTGGTAGCATGAAGCACCCAACATCTCTAGTGCACAATAATGTATGCTGCAGTCACATAATGCAGCCAGTCATGTGAAGCGAGTGTTGGTAGCAAAAGCGCCGCATCAATCACATGAAATAGGCTGACCATGGTGAGCATTAATAGCTTGCCATAAGAGATACTCTTACACGTGAACTCATTCACACAGTAGCTCAGCTCAGTGCATCTCAGTTGGGATGAGAAGAATAATGATTAGTTATGCAAATAGTGTTGGTAGCCTCAGTGGAGTCCGTGCTTAAAAACAGTCACATGAACAAGAGTTGGAAGCGTAAGCGCCAAATCAATGTACGTGCCTTAATTAATGCAGTGCAGGAGTAGAGACAGGAAAAACTATTTTTTGAAAATTGTTAAAAACGGAGTTATCTGTTTTTGCAAATTAACTCTTCATATTAGGACAGAGGTATTTTTTATAATTGTCTGTGCGTGTTATCACTTGTGCGTTATAAGTTGTAATTTTATACAACTTAATTTACTCATTCATTTAATGTCTTGTGCGTCATTATTGTTTCACTTTCTACTTTCTACTTTTCGCTTTCTACTGATTTTATGTATTGTTGCAGACAGTCATACTAATGTCTCTGTGTAACACTAGTGATGTTCGGTTCTTGAACGAATCGTTCTTTTGAGCCGGTTCTCAGGAAGTAACCGGTCGAACCGGTTCACAAATCGAACTGAATCGAACTTTAGTTCCGGGTTGATGACGCAGGACAGTTATTGTTTTTTCAAGCATTTAATAAAACAAACAAACAAACAAACAAAAAACAGAAAAGTCACGGCCAGTGGCGTAACTTAGTAATGACGGGCCCCAGTGCAGGCTATTACTACGGGCCCCCTGGGGTGCACGGTTATGAAGCACATACAAACACACAGCGCTCATGTCTAGAAGGGAACCCATATAAGCAAATTTGTGCCTAACCTACTTAATTTAGACCAACTAAAATCAGTATCTAAATAAATATAATAAATAATTCACATATCAGACAAAATTGCATTGCAACAATTCCTTTAAATTTTAAGGTATTTAGAGCAGAGCAACATAAAAATCTGAAAAAATATAATTTTTTAGTATTTTTTTAGGCCTGTTTAAGGCTTTTCCTTATTTTTATAGTTTAGATGGTGATGAAAAAATTACTCGCCATCTCCTCGTTGGACGTGCCTTTAGAGAGAAAAGCATCTTTACGGTTTACATAATGAAAGAGTTTTTGTTTTCGATTTAAATTATTTCGTTTTAAAGTAGTAATTTATAGCTTTCTATATATTTTTATCATGTCTGTGAGGCAGTTCCCTGAGTTTAGGTTCATCATTGTGAAGCGCTCCTGCTCAAGACCGAGACGGCAGAAAGCGTTTGTTTTCTTTTGCTCGCACTTGCCAATTTAATGGCAGAGAATGGTGACTTTAGGTTTTGTTTGTTGTTTTTAAGCGGATGCATATCTGTCATAAAATAATCCTATGCATCTCGTGGCGTATATTCCAAGCATTCTGAAGGTATACTGAGGGTTTGGTGAGAAACAAACCGAAATGGCAAGTTATCAGTTCTCTCTTGCACTCGTGCACAATGCGCAGTCTTCACACAGACGATCGTACGCTTTGTTCTGGTAAAAGCACAAAACAAAATGCACACAAACATGTCCTTGCTCTTGATATACAATCACTGATGAACACCTTTGGTTTTAATGAGAGGAAAAAAAACTACACGTGGGTGGATTAGAACCCAAAACCTCAGAAACGCGTGACAAAAGTTCTACCTCGAGGCTACTATAGCACACAGACAGCTTATGCGAATTCATGTATTTATTTAGTACTGTGCAGAATCTATTTTATTATTAATATGTTTATCATTAATATAGTCGCTTGCAACGTGGGCAGCCCCGCGGCACGGGCCCCAGTGCGGCTGCACTGCCTGCTGTCTGTAGTTACGCCACTGGTCACGGCACACTAAGGGGTCTCTGTTGTAACTTGTAAGTCTGAAGGGAGGCAAGCCTCCGCTGTAACTTTACCTGCGGGTGTCGCTGTTGGACAGTGTTACTTTATAAAAACAAGTGACTTTTATGCTTTTAATGCCATATTTAGTAATAGTTGCGATTTATGTTTGTAATATCGATTATTTTGTCATCCAATTTTTTTGAGGAGACACTGCCTCCCTTGCCTCCTAGGAGGGAACGTCCCTGCTGTGTGTTTCCAAACACTGTTGAAAGGGACATTTAATTGAATAAATATGAGACGCTCTATAACAGCATTGAAAAAATTACTGCAAAATTGCTGTAAAAAGTTAGCTTACACATGTATCATTTTGTCACTCGTGATAATTTTGTAGTATTTTACTTACAGTATTTAACTCACATTTACTATATTTACTCTGTACTTGCTCTGCATTTATTTTTTATCCTACCAGTGTACTTATATTCATTGTAAATATTTGTTTGTTGAGTATAATACTGTACAGTGTGAGCATATGGCCTCCGTGGACCTCTGTCTTGTTTCATCTTAAACTTATAGAATCTGAATAATCCTACTTAAGATCACTACATTAAATTCTGCTATATTTCCCAATTATTTGTGCGTGAGTCAATCAATCTGTCTTTCTGTCTGTTTGTGCCAGGATACAGTTTTGTTCCCTTAAAGGAGATTTAAACTTAGGTCATTCCATGTGTGTTAACGGTGACAGTGGGCCATACAGTATGTTTTGGGTGAGTTACTACTATTTTTGCAGGCATGCAGTATGGTTTTGATGTCCCATAAAACAGTTATGACAACTATAACATTGGGGGGTTTGTGGAGTTGTGTGGAGCATAACTTATATATATAATAATTACATTATTATATTATATATATAATAATTAAATGCTTTTCATTCATACTATAAATGTTGTTACTGGGTCAGTGTGTATCAACTCAACCATGCAGTTTTAGATCTTGATCATTTTCGTCTGCTGAAAGTGGTATGTATTAAGTACAAGAAATATTAAATGCTTGGATTAATATACTTAAATAATGTATTTCAGCAATCCTTAAACAAAATTGTATGCCAATGGTGACAGTTCCAAAATGTGAAAAATGTGAAAAAGCACTTTCCCCAAAAAAGTTTGCATGCCTGTAACTCAAGAACCATTAAAGATATAATTTTTTAGACTGGTTCTTAAAAAAATCTATCTTGTTTCCAACTATCAAAACAACTTCATGATTCCCCAGCTCAGCCAAGCTGGTCCACCAGCTTTGACCAGCTAATAACCAGCTTAAACCAGCTTGAACCAGCTACCATCTTAAACTGGTTAATATTAGCTGGATCTTCCAGTAACAAAAATATAATCTAATAAATTGCAATTAAGGCGTGTTGAATGTTAAAATGCGTTTCAGTGTACATTTGGTCGAGCAAATGCTCTTTTCCTTTTCAACGAAATCGTTTTTCTACCAATATAAGTTTAAAAGGATAAAACAATAACAAAGTAATCAAAAAAAAAAACCACAGTAAAAGGACAGTATAATACAATACATCAGTAGTCTTTTGTACCTGCTTATACTGTGTGTACTGCGCATGCGCGTTGTGTGTAATTACAGATGGGATGGTGCGAGCAGCTCTCAACGGGACTCACACTCACCGCCTGCGGGACAAACCGCGAGGAGGACACCGCGACCAGTCTCACAGAGCCAGTCACTGTCATCTAAACCGGCCTGACCGACCCACATCCATTGAGCGGTAAGACTTGAGACATTGTGAAAGTATACCGACGCTTTATATTTAAGCAGCTTTGGTGGAAGAGAGACGCGCATGAGTATCAGTTTATAGCTACTACTGTAACTTTGATTGACAGTCAGCTAAACAGACCACGAATAATCACCCGGTTCAAATAAGTGAAATTAAACTTCAGAACACACATTTAAAACATGTTTATAGTGAGATATTTGGAGAAATTCTTTAACACGTACACTGTAAATATGATGTATGCTCATTGTGTCAACCTTCCTGCTGTAGATACACTAACTTACATCAAATGTCAACTAAATAAAGTCGTCTAACTATAAAAGAACTGTGTGAAATACAGCTATAAAGTGTTTTTGATTGCGACCGACCGTCGTTAAGTTTTGTCCAGAGTAAAGGGTGTGTCTCTACCTGTCCTGAAAACAGCACGTCAACTTTCTAAACGTGTAGTGCACACGAGCTCTGCCACGCCAATTCTCATTACTTTCTCTTTCATTTCATTGATAGATGCTCACATTGTGCTGCAGGTGTGTGACAACTAACACGGACATTTTAACATGGATAACACCAAGATTTTAGAATACTATTTAAATAGATATATATAAAGGAAAAGGAAGTATAAATAAAGTCACAACAATAAAACATTGCAACTATAAAAAAATTGCATTTAAATTTAATGCTGTTTAAAGTAGTTTTAGATGCATTATACTGTATGACACTGCTATCATTACAGTGCTTGACATGTCATGTCAACTACCTGCAGCTTCATGGTTTATGACATTTTACAGGCAGGACCAAACCTATTTAACTTCTGTTTTCTTAAGGTCATTTCGACCTTGTTTGGTATATATATATAAAAAAAAAAGCATTTTCCTAAACACCTGTAGTACCACAACAAATAGTTTGTTGTGATGTGTATGCAAAAAGGCGCCTTATTGGCTTGTTCAGTCACAGTGGAGATTTATTTATGAAATGCACATGAATTAAAATTGTAGCTTAAATATGTACATCACTACTAAGTAATAGAAGATAATACAGAAATTGTTATGAAATATGACGTGCTAAAAGTGATGGACATTAACGGTTAATAAGGTTTGCATTTATTGCAAAAGTTGGGTAGTTGTTTTTACACAATTAAATGTGCATTTGTAGTGTACTTAAAAAACTGTACTTGCAGATAATATAATATTTATTAAATAAAAGGCCACTTACCTGTATTTAAAGTCACTTTCATGACTATGTTTCTACACTCTAAAAAATGCTGGGTTGTATTTAACCCAGCACTGGGTTGTATTTAACCCAGCATTTTTTAGAGTGTAAAGACACTTAAGTACATTTTTTAAAAGGGCACTTTGTCATGTCAAAATAAAAGTTTAAATACATGTGTTAATAATATTTTCTTTTGTTGTACTTTAAAGACATACATTTCTTTTGATGTTTTGACTAACATGCAGTACTAAAGCACATGTAAAGTACTTGATAGTTATTTTAACTGTATTGTGTTATATAATATTACAAAGGTAACATATTGTAAATGTACTAAGTTGCAATTTAATTATTACATGTGTAATTACAAATATATGACATACATGACAAACGAGTTTCAATAAAAATTACTTTAAAGTATATTTACCACAAATAATTGTCATTACAGAAGACTTCAGCAGAAGACTTTAACCACATTTCAAAGACAGAAGTAATTATGAAATTACATATAAAGATTTTGCCTACTTATTGTAATCCTACTCAAGTGGGCCAAAAATCACTCTAAAGTTCAGCTAAGTGTATTTAATATAAATATAAACTATAATTATGCAGTTTATATGTACAGTTAAGTGTCTGAAAACGTTACATTCAGTTCACAGTTAAATATATTCTTTTGAGGTGTATTATTTCCATAATAACTACTCTTTTTAAAAGTATGCTAAAGTGTATTTCTCATTCACACGGGTTTGAAAGTGGTTTCTATGGATACTTGCTGATTTAAACTGCTGGTGTTGGCTCTTGCTTTCTTGAACATAAGCCATTCTGACTGGCCATAAAACGAATAAACAGTGTGTTATGAGATGATCCATTTGTGCAGCTTTAACTGTCTGGTTGTGACCGGCTAGTCTAGAAGGCAATGTGCTTTGCTCAATTCATTAGTCACATCAGCAATACCACTTTGCCCATACCAAAAATAAAATGACATTAAATGCCAGTAGTACCACAGTTGCATACTCTTACCTGCCAATGTTAAGTTTGGATAAACAAGACTTGATGAGATCCATTCTAAAACATATTTAACTGTTTGTCTGCTATCAGATATGGTCATTGATTGTCCAGTAGCTTTATATGTGTTGTAATCATAGGGCTGGACAATAATTCAATATCAATATGTATCGTAATATAATTTTTTTCAATAACGGTGATATGTTTCAGGATTCTTTGATGAATAGAAAGATCCAAAGATAAGCATTTATCTGAAATAAAAAGCTTTTGTAACATTATACACTATTCCATTCAGTATAATTTTTATTATTTTTTGGGGAAAGAAATTATAGAAATTAATACTTTTATTTAGCAAGGATGCTTAAAATTGATCAAAAGTGATGATAAAGGCATTTATAATGTTACAAAAGATTTCTATTTCAGATAAATAGTGTTCATATCGATATCGAAATTATATCGTATCGACCGAAATTAAGAAATATATCGTGATATCAATTTTGGCCATATCGTCCAGCCCTATGTAATCAATAACATTCTTCAGCATAAAGGAGATCAATGCAGGACTCGTAAACCCATTAACAGTTGTGTGACCTCTGACCACCTAGCACTGTTTATTCTGCCAATGTGGCTTTACAGTGATCTGTTGGTGCAAAATTGTTTTATTGGTATCAAGTGTAAAGGTACACTACCATTCAAACATTTGGGGGCAAATTTTTTTTTTTGGAAGAAACTAGCCTAATACTTTAGTGCATTAAAGGGTGCATTAAATTCATAGTAAAGACTTTTACATTGGTACGATTAACAATTTCTGTTTCAAATAAATACTGTTCTTTTGAACTTTCTGAAAGAAATGTATAATATTAAGCAGCACAACTGTTTTCAATATAATAAGAAGAAATGTTACTTGAGCACCAAATCAGCATATTAGAATGATTTCTGAAGGATCATGTGACACTGAAGACTAATGGCTGCTGAAAACACAGCTTTGTCATCACAGGAATAAACTACATTTTAAACTACATTGAAACAGTTATTTTAAATAATAACGTTTCACAATATTACTGTTTTTACTGTAAATTTTATCAGATAAATTCAGCCTTAAGGAACATAAGAGACTTCTTTAAAAAAATTAAAACATCTCACCAAATTCAAACATTTGAACAGTAGTGTCTCCTTGTTGTTTTTCAGATGGCAGATGAGGAACTGGTGAAGAAGATGGTACGGGCGGTGCTCCAGTCCGCTAAGAGTGGCGTGTCACTGTCTAACCTGCAGGTAGAGTATAAAGACCTGACGGGTGAGCTCATACCTTATAAACAGTTGGGGTATGCCACGCTGGATGCCCTCCTGCACAGCATGCCTTCGGTTGTGAAACTGGATAAAGGGCAGTCTGGGGAGGTAAGTCTCTCCCTTACCTTTTGAAATTCAGTTATTCAGCAGGGATACATGAATACTAAAACTTTAAATGGTTAAAAACCCATAGGTGGTATGCCATGCTACCACAGGAAACGAGATGACCCACGTTACTAAGCTTGCGGCCCGTCAGCGCACAGCTAAGAGGACCGGCCGACCTCAAGTTGTGAACTGTCAAATGAGAGTCAAACCAGCAGCTCCTCTTGCACTGAATGGTGAGACTCTGATTAGTTTTGTTAAATATGACTGTGCATGCAACTCTTACTTTAAAGTGTTATTCAGAATACATTATATGTGACCCTGGACCACAAAACCAGTCTTAAGTCGCTAGGGTATATTTGTAGCAATAGCCAAAAATACATTGTATGGGTCAAAATGATTGATTTTTCTTTTATGCCAAAAATCATTAGGATATTAAGTAAAGATCATGTTCCATGAAGATATTTTGTAAATTTCCTACTGCAAATATATCAAAACTTAATTTTTGATTAGTAATATGCATTGCTAAGAACTTCATCTGGACAATTTTAAAGGCGATTTTCTCAATATTTGGATTTTTTTGCACCCTCAGATTCCCGATTTTCAAATAGTTGTATCTCGGCCAAATATTTTCCTGTCCTAACAATCATCAATGGAAAGCTTATGTATTCAGCATTCAGATGATGTATAAATGTCAATTTCGAAAAATTGACCCTTATGACTGGTTTAGTTGTCCTGGGTCACACTTAGAGAATGTATGCTAAAAGTACATTTGAAATAATCGTTAATTTAATAATCTATTGTCATGCTTTAAAGAAGTACATTTATTTTGATTTGTTGTCGAAAGCACATGTAAAGTACTTCATTATAATTTTAACTGTAGTGTTATGCAATGTTACATTTACAGTTAATATATTTGAAATGCACTACATTTCAACATAATCTTTACAAACATGTATAATTACAAATACGTGAAATGCAAGTTTCAGTAGAAGTTACATTAAAGCATATTTTAGTTTACAGTTTTGTTAGATGTGACTGTGAATGCAATATGTCTATGTGCTATCCATGAGACATTTTAAAGAGAATGTATGCTAGTGTCCTGTGCATCCTGTGTCTTTTTTGGTTGTGTGTGTGGCCTATTTAAACTCCTCTGAGGATGTGAGCACAGTTCTGGATGTACTAAGAATAAAGCTCTGCATTAGATCATTCAGATTACAGGTTGCGGCTGTTCTGGGAGTTGCAAACTCACTGTCAGCTTCAGGGTTTTCTGCGCTCACGCTGTCCCTTGATCAGTGACTCAGTATTTACTTGGCTTGCTGTGATACAGCAGAAAGCGGGCATCTGTATTGACCTAGAGGGAGGTTTGGAGACTGCAGTGTTGTGGAGAGGCTGTTGCAGAGGCTGCGTGGCTGTTCAGGGGAGGATTGTCTGAAAACGTTTCTTTTTTTTCCCCTCATCTGTTATTTAATGACTCAACTGCCGCTGCTGTGGTGATGCTCTGCCTGTTTTTGTCTACTTAGCTCACCATCCGCTGTCTTGCAGAAACGATCAGCCTGTGGAGCGCTTATCTCAGGAGGGCTGTAGACAGTGATAACGTGTTAAATTGCTGCCACTTTTCCACGCTAGACCGGTTGGACGGCTTGCGCTGTTAGCAAGCAGTCGGCTGAGTTTACTGCCGGGTTGGAAGATATGATGTCATTCTGTTACAGTCAGGTTAGTGGAATGATGTCATATTGAATGTGTATGAGAGAAAATGGGTTTTGAAGTCCTGTTGACAGTGTGAGTATGATGTAATTGTTATTTAGTTGAGACTAGTTTGTAGCTGCTGTTGCATTTCAAATGCTATGTGTAAAGAGGAGAGTAATATTTTGGTGCATGTTCTAATTTCTCGTGATTATGCTGACTTCCAGAAACTTCATGGTTATCTAGTTGGAGAATGTGCAGAGTTATACCTTATAGATTGTCTGTTAAGTAAACTGATTTGTGTGCAATGATATATGTTTGATCTAGCTTACAGTGTTTGGCTTCATCTGTTTGATTAAAGGATTAAGCACAACAAACTGATATTTTTATAGTTTCTATAAAAATAGTATTTGTTCTATTGTTTCTATAGGATTTGTTAAAGAGATCAGAGAAAAAAAATCTGTTGTTGTTTACTTTCTCCCATGTTGTTCCCAACATGTGTGTTTGTCTTTCTTCCATGGAATACAAAGGAGAAATGGAGCACAAAAGGAGCAAAAGCGGCATCTACCCATAAAAGCGGTCCATATTACTGTTATCAATATTCCAAGTCTTCTGAAGCTGTATGACTGTTTTGTGTGAAGAACAGACAGATATCTAAGTCACAGTTCACTAAAAATATTCGTCTGACATATGTTTTTATGAGAGAAGCATGTAATATTTGATTTGTGAACAAATTGTTCTTTTGAGTTGGATTTTTTTCAGTTAATCCATTGATCTGGTTGAAAATAACAGCACGAGTCAGAGTGATATTTTCTCATGTTCCACTCACTGACTCATTGATCAGAGATCCAATCACAGCAGTTAACAACCCATCGGAGAAATAAATGACAACATTGTAGTCTGTTTGTCACACAAAGCTGTTGAATGGCTTTAGAACATATGAGTCGTATGGACCAATTTTATGATACTTTTATGGTGGTGGGTTTGCATCCTTTATTGTCTTCTGACAATCAGAAATATACAGATTTTTTTCATCTTGTTGATATTATTGTTAGAAAATGCTGCTTACTGCATCATTTTACTGTCGGTGACTCGTCGTGGCATGCATGCAGTGTAGACAGAACCACTGATTATAGTGGTTTCTGTTTGTTTTTCTAGTACCCGGTAAAGACACAGTGTAATCCAGCAATAATAGTGTCCATGTGAGGAAGTGTGCTTTAATTGCAGTATGTTGATAGAAATGGTTGTTCAAGGAAATTCCTGTCATTACAAAGCACTGTAAAAGGGTTCACAGGACACTCAAATGCTTCAAATTCTGTCTCTGTAGATAGGAAATAGGCCTGGAATTATATGTGTGTTATTTTCAGTCTTATATATTAGATTATATATTTGACTTTTTTGATTTAGATATTGTCTCATCTCCTTCATAGCAAGGCCAAGGACATCTTTGAGACAGCCCGACCATCGTGGACATCTGGGGCGAGGTGGAGGTCGTGGAGGGGGACATGAAGACCCCCTTCCTCGCACAGGAAGCTTGAGGGACTCCCAGCCTGATGGGAAAGGAGGCAGACCCCACAACACACCCACAAGAAGACCCTCCCTTCCCTCAGAAAGGTGAAAGACTCAAAAACACAAAGCCTGTCAAGTGGAGTCTTCCACTTGACTTAAAACTTTGCATTATAGACACATTAAGAGCTACAAATAAACAAGTTAAAGTACTTTGAAATTCCTATATTGAAAGATAAAAAGTACAGCTGACACTTTCTTACGAAAAAGCATCTTTTAAAGTAAACGCACCTATTGTGTGAGCAGCATTTTGCCAAGCAAGTAGCTGAGAATACAAATCAAGTCCTAATGAGTCAACAGAAACAAGCTCTATATTTTTTCACCGACTCTTAATTTTCCAGTTTTGCAACTACGTGTCTCTAGCTGTTGATACTGTCTGACTTGATTGGCAATAACAGAGAGCAGTTCAGCTGAATGTTGTCTGAACCCAGTGCTTATTCAGCGATCGAATGAAGGGTGCTGTCTGTGTCTGTGTGTGTGTG